GTTGAGACCTGGAACTGGCTCGCATCGCCCCTACCCCCTCGCAGTCACTGGAGGACCAGCTCCACACCAGTAGGTGGCAACACGTAAATAGTGTGAAGCTTGTAACTGTTATTTAGCAATGGCGCTCACTTACCAGTAAAACACAAGAGCTGAAGAAACAGCATGCAGCATGAAACTATATCCATCTGAAAACATGCAGTCTCCGGTGTGAGGCCTTTACAGTGTCTCAAAGCCGACGTGTGTAGTAATAAATCCACATCCAGTCAGTCTGCTGTGTCCATGTAAAGTTGAAGCCAAACTGATAACATGAACCAAACTCCACCCTGGACCGAGGTAATTGCCTAATGTCAGTCAGAGGATCATCTGTGTGTTCTGGTTCATTTGCATTCACATTTGTTTGGAGTTATATTTGAACAAGGCTCAGTGTTGATGCTCCTTTAGTTTAGCTGCAGTCTTTTGAGCTGTCCAGCGGCTCCTGGTGTAGGCCTATGCCATACCATCGGGTGTGTCTAGACCTGTGTAAAGCCCAAAACGGCCTGGGTCCATTGTAATGGAAACTCTCCCCAGGTGGGGGTGAGCCCCTCTGTAACTGTTCTGTGCCAATCCGGCCCCAAGCGAACCAAGTACATCAAGAGGAGCAGCTGAGCTGACTCGGGCAGATAACAAGGTCCAGATGCCTGAGATGTTCTGGGCATGTCCCACTGGGAGGAGGCCCTCATGAAGACCCAGGACACACTGGAGGGTCTCTCGACTTGGATCTTCCCAGAAGAGAAACAGATGTTAACTATGCTAAGTGAATGGTCTAACCTGTCATATGCGCTTTAACATTCCACGCAATGCAATAACGCAAGCATAGTGCACTTTTAATTTTATTGATATTATAGTAAAAACATTGAATAATGGGAAAACATACAGTGAACATATGAGTCAATTACACTTTCTTCCTCTTTTTACATTATAATCTATTTCATTTCCGTGCTCATACTAGAAGGTGTTTTCTCTGAAGGTTCAAATGTGCGACCTGGACTAAGATCCATCATGAGCACTTCCTATGTCCATGGCTGAAACATGAGCATGACATTTACATTATATAAACCTCTGTCAGTGGAAATGTTTCAGTTATCCTCCTCTGGGTCCATACATTTTCCAAACTCCAAATGCTTTTTTTATGCCAAAAACACACTCCAGGACAAGTTCCACCTTCACAAACCTTTTAATGTGTTTCTGGAGACCTATTACTCAAATGACACCTACGCATATGTTTGGGTGAAGATAAAAGGTGCCAACACGCAGAGGTCAGAGTTCATATCTTCACCTGGTTTAGCGCTTGCTTGTTTGGCTAGACTAAAACTCATTACCGCCTCTTTCCCACTCACCCCCGTGCGTTATAATGGGTTTCTGTCTGTCAAAAGGAAAAACACATTCTCGTGGTCTGCAAATTCTTCCGGAAGGTCCCAATAAAATCTGGTGTGGAAATGAGTCTGCAGCAGTTTCAACATGGTCGTCCGTCTGCTCTGACATCAGGCCTGTGCAATGTGGGGAATTTTGCATCCTAGATAAAGACGTCATGGCAACAACAAATCTAGTTCTTCGGGATTTTTTGCCAGCTTACTGTCAGCAAACAATGAGTAAACAAACCTTACAACACAGGAGCTAAAAATACATGGGTACTTCCAAACATGATTAAAAAAATATGGGTTTTGAAAGACTTTTTATAGCCATATTTCAAATTTCCCTTGTGGATCAATAAAGTTTGTAAAGACTTTCAGCTTTCTCTTATATTATTATTATTTTCTATGGTAACAGTCCTAATTTCTGAACTTTCTGAAATCAAAAGTAAATAAAAGTTTTCAAAGTTGCTCTGTGTTTATAAAAACATATTTCTTTCGATTCACAAAATTGACTCTTGTGCGCCTTAAGCCGTGTTATAATGTTGTTACCTCCTCAAAAAACTTACCTGGAGTTGTGTTTTGTTTCATTCACATATGTTTGAGTAATTCTTTATCTTTAGTATGTCTGCATCTCTCAGGCTCAGAATGCTTTGTGCCACCTTGTGATGTCATGTAGTGGTGGTTTTTAAGTTACCTTAGTTAGCTAAACTTTTTATTCAGTAGAGATCGTCAATTCCACAATTCCATGGCTGAAATCATCCAGGCGTATGGAGTTTAAAAACACAGTGGAGCACTTCCTGTTTTACAGCATGAAATCACAAGGTGGTTTCCTGTTTGAGAGAAGCACTCAGCCTAAATAAGCAGGGTTTGTGTGTTAAACATGTGTGTAGTATGTAACTTGTATGGAGAGTCTGCTACCTGCTGGTCACTATAGATGTTCCAGAATATGGCATTAAACTTCTCCATAGAGACAAGCAGGTGTCAACACATTACAGGTCAGATTTGTAGAGTGGCAGAGAGCCCGTTTACAGTAAGAATGTGTTTCAGGGTTACTTAAACTGTAATTGAATAAATGCAAGGTACTGTATGTGTTAAAACTTAATTGGCCTGTACGGGGATTGAACCCGTGACCTCAGCGTTATTAGCACCACGCTCTAACCAACTGAGCTAACTGGCCAGGTTTTGTATGCTTTGCCAAGACTGTTTTAAGTTTTTACTAAAGTTTGAAAATTATGATGAAACAATGAGTTGCTGCTGCACATGGGAATCTTTTCTATTAGAGTTGGTGCTGAAAAACCTTCAGGGAACCAAAGGGTCGAGCAATTTGACTCTGGTTGTTTAGCTTTGGGTAAAGTCCACCACTTGCGAAAACAGACTAAAATACTTCAAAATGTCTTAGGAGATGTTTTTAAATGGATGCTTCCCAAGAATAAAATCAAGGTTGAAATGTCTTTGTAACAAAGTGTTGCTTTAACCCAGGAGTGTCAAACGCAAATTCACAGAGGCCAAAATTAAAAACTGGAACTAAGTCATGGGCCAAACTAAATATTTATTGAAAAACATCCATGTTTTCTCTTCTTTCCAGATAAGTCCAGGCAGGCCAGCTCTAATGCATATTTGCTATGATCTCGGGGGCCAAATATAATTATATCGTGGGCAAAATTTGTCCCCGGGCCTGAGTTTGACATGTCTGCTTTAACCCCTTGAAGGTCTAGTTCATGCCAGTAGAAATTGTGAAGTTTAGCTTTAGAGCATGTTTTTTGTTATAGAAGCATTCATCCAAGGTCAATTGGTTTGGAATTCCATGCCAAGATACAGTATGGAAGATGAATGCCATACTGTAAAAGTTACAGTTAACCTAGGGCTGCTCGATTATGGAAAAAAAAAATCACTATCACAATTATTTTGGTCAATATTAAAACCACGATTATTCAAACGCTTATTTTATATAGTTACATGATGCATTTATTCAGCATTTCTCTCTCAAATATCGATAATTTGCACAAAACTTTCAAATTGAAAATAAATATAGACTAAAAATATGAACCTTAGAGGAGTTTTGCGATGTATAAAATATAAAATGAAAAAAAAAAAATACTTTGAACATAAAATTGCTAATCAATATTATTAAATAAATTAATCGTTTCAGCTCGATT